GTGGCAGATTACCATTAATGATTTTAGAATGCTTGCCGAATGTGATTTACCACACCCTAATTCTAGTTATTTCAATCTCATGACTCGGCTCCGCGGTTACTACCTATCCTTAGTAGGTATATTTCTTTACGACTTCCAGCGTCTCTCCACCTATCGCAAAATACTGTTTTCTGCCAAGGCTGTTGCACATTACTTTAGTTTTGTGCATATTGATTTTCAGACCTACTGTTCTGCATTCAGTGTCTAGTTCTGTAATCATAAGCTGTGATTCATCCCCTGAGTTACTCATCAAGGCAATGTCATCAGAGAATCGCAAGTTACTAAGATACTCTCCATTAATAACTCTTATCCCCAACTCTTTCCAATCTAGGGTCCTGAAAACCTTGCCATTCATTTCAACAGCCACCGCACGGATAACAACTGTCATACAATAAACAATAGATGTACATCCGGCGATGTATTCTTGTTGCACCCGCTGAGCCTGCCCTCACGCCTATCGCCTCGATTGACATTGTTCTTATTTGTGTACAACATGACAGAACCCTCAAGCGCATGATAGATAGGCTCTTCAACACTACCCACGAGTCGCTAAGCAACAAAACAAAGCTTGTCTATCGTATGCCAACGTCGAGATGAAACCCTTGCTAACTTGTATCGTGGACATTATTTTTGCATATACTTACACTGCAATATTCAATCAGCACTCATGAAATGCGTATGTGTTGTTCCTTTCGGTGCAGTTTTCTGTGCATGAAACTTTTGACTCCAAGAAGACTCGTCTAATTACATATTTATATATTTTTTTCTGAAGCAGTTTCAAACAGTAACCTGACTGTTTGGTAGAACGCCAGCTGCTTGCTACGTAAAAGGCTTGGGTTCAATTCGTACTCGAAGTGCTTCTTGATATTTATTTTTAGTTACCTTGAATTTTCACTTATGGACAACCTTATTTTTTCACTCAAAACCAACAATGCCGCACCTGACACGAGAAATTCAGCGATACAAGCTCTTTAACACTATTGTGTTAATATCTGAAGTGCAGTATTCTGACTGCGCATTTGAAGGATGATGTAAAGAGTGGCATAAGTGTTGCACTTCTAATAAACAAGCACTAAAGTTTCCGTTAGACATATTTGTAGCATGGCCGGTGGCCTCTAAAAAGTTTGTCTAGGATCATGTATTCATATTCTTTCTGTCTACATAGAACCTGCGGCTGTCCATGGTAAATTCGTAAAGTGTACTTAGCACTAAATGAAGATTAAATTTCTCACTTTATTTGGCCTCGAGATTATCCAGCACTATATTTCAATTAAAAACCTAAATTTAACGTTAGTGTAACAACACATCGCAACTTTTAAATGTAACAATAATGAGTCCCTTTTATATTTAGGGAACTGGTAACAGGAACTAGTTCCATCATTGTGAAGGAACAAGGAACTACTTTTCGTTCAAGTTTTAGAGGAACGAGTACAACACTGGATTTTTCAGGGCAGCATAAATGTCATGCATGCCCTGCATGAATGCCTGTAACTTTTTTTAGACGTTTTTAACTTTTTTTGGACATTTTAGATCATAAGCGACACAACAGCCAAAAAAGAATTTCGAGCAAGTTTCGGAGCAGCAAAATGTTACTTTTGGAGCAAAAAAAATACAAATATGATGGAAATTACGGGGAACAAAGCGAAAACTGCAGATAGCCAACATGGCCACCGTTTCTCGCTCAAACTGGTGCAACTCAGAAAACTTTCAGGCTGGTCAGGCATTTTGGCACAGCCTGGCGCTAGTTCAGCAAATTTCATGATTTTTGCACAGCTTTGCGCAACAATCGAAAATAGTGTCAAATTGGTGCAGCTGTGGCACCCCTAGATGATCACATTAGTGCTCACAATTATGCACTGTACACACGCATGAGTGATTGAACAAACTCTACTGTGTCCCTTGACTAGAACTAACGGACCCTTCCAAATCTTAAATCGCTTGTTCGCAGAACACCGGTATACTGTGGCAAATGTGGCTTGCGCGTCGTTCAGCACGGGCTAGAATTAAGGTCCTTGATTAAAACAGGGCCAATTACTTTTTTAACCAGTAAACCCCCACCCTCCCCCTTTGTTTCTTTACGATGTGGTTAGACTTACAGTACCAACTTTCCGGCTCCCTTCAAAGGTGCATTGGACTAGACAAGGTAACAACGGCACGCGTCCGCTGGCCCAGCAATGCCACCAAATATCTATTGCCGTCATTCATTGGAGGATTCGAAGCGACTCACGAACTCTGCACTGGAGCACTCCACTCTGTTGCAGGGCAACGGAAAGGAATCTACCAATGTAACAAACGCACTCCCTCTGAAGCAAATGGCAAGGTCAAAATGGAACGGGATGCGTCTCTATTGTTTGAGTGGGCACGCTGGGCACAGCGGCACTACGCTAGCAAAGCGTGAGCTCCAACGCAAGGCGCAACTAACGCGATCAGCACCCGTGGGCGCGCCCAAAGTCGGTACCGTTTCAAAGCATGGGGTGCTTGCCACTTCGGGTCGAATCCTCCAATTTTCGCAGAGTGGAAAAAGTTGCTCCATGGAGCGGAACTCGCGACGCAGCTGCTCCAGATCTGTCAATAGCACATACAGGGAGCACTCTCAGTTCACCAATGAAATCGACTTGTTCCGCATAGAGCAGAAGTAAGTATTATCCGGAAGTGCTCCGAATCTGCCAATGGATGACACCATATCACATGTGCCGTTGCTAGGGCAACCAGCGCAGTCGCCGGAAACAGCGGCAACCGCAGAACATCGAGTTCGCGAGCAGTACATGCGACATACGCTCCCAGCTTTCGTTCGCAACAAGACATAAGCGCGTTTGGTGACGACAAAATTGATATTTACCGCGAAGCACTGATGGCTACGGAAACGCATTTTTGTCTTGAAGGGAAGTTTTATGATAAAGTTATGTCATTCCACCGATAGAGTGGACCAATCGGCGCAAGGCGTTGTCACTTTACCTGGTCGAACGCGTCTCGCCAGTGTTTTACCCTAAGAAGTATATTACACCATGGTTAGGTAACATCACAAGTTAGGGCCTGCGCACCTGAATTGATTGATAATGCAAACTACAGAGAGCCAACATGGCCTCCATTTCTCGCTGAAATTAGCGCAATTGAGAAAACTTCGAGGCTGGTCGGGCATTTCGGTGCAGCGTGGCACTATCTCAGCAAATTTCACGGTTTTGGGGCAGCTCGGCGCAAAAATGGGGAATTGTGTTAAATTGACGCAATTGGCACAGCTGTTACACCCCTGAGTATTTAGGGCGACGCGTCTCTGCGAGATAAACGAGGCACACGGAAATTAGTACTGTGCTAGTGCCGATGTTAGGTTGAGTGAGCGAGGAGGGAGTGTGAGCTGTTTTACACTTATATGTGGGACTAAGTCCAGTCATTGTTGGGAGGCATTTCCTTTTTGCCGTGTGATCCCCAGTTTAGCGTTTCCTTTCTTGCAAGCACAAGTTTGCTGAATAAATTCCCTTCACTTTCTGTTGAGCTGTTGGCGCCTGCTTGAGTGAACTCTGCCTTTCCTACGTGACGAATGCATGTGGTGATGACGAATGTATCATCATCGTCAAATGAAGCCTGAACAGCGGCAAGCCTTTGTGATGGTATAGTGTGCGTCAAGTTATCGCGATTGACAGGCCGCGCATCCTGTTTGGCAGCTCCGCGTATGTATACGTGCCTATCCATGGTGATAACTGGACGGCACGCACTATACCATTGCGAATTGACTTGCGTTGTTCGGGTTTCATTTGACACTGATAGTACGTCTCTCAGCTAGTCTGCACGGTGCATTTAACGCTAGCCTTGCATAACCAAAGACTGTGCCAAAAATAATGTAAACACTGGCAGCGCTATTCTTGGGAATTTGTACAGCGACATGGGCGATATACGACAGCACAGTCGTTTGGCTGGGGGACGAGATGCGTGGGACGCAGAGAGCGTGCGTGTGTACCAAAGAGGAAGGGAAGGGGAGCTAGGCATAACAAAAGAATCAACAGATGGGAATGAAATTTCGTCTGCCGATTATGGTTTATTGGCAGACGCTTAATACAGTCACCACTGGACTGCTCCTTTCTGTGGACTGTCCACAGCATTTCTTCGTGTTACGTGTTCATCCAGCACGACCCAAATGTGCCTGTTCAGGTGCCTTCTTGTCGCTTCTCGTACCGACGTCGATTTTAAAATCGATGCTTTGCTAAGGATTGAAACGAAAATGATTCGCGAATCCCAACAATTTCCAATTCCTCAGTGGCTTGTTCGCCACTTGTAGACACTAATGACGGCAGCGATGACGATGACGGTGGTGACGAATATGTGACTATAACTGCGCGCCTAGCAGACAAAATGTCAGCTGAAACTAGCGTCACCATTTCGCGAGGCTGCGTGATCAGATGGGCTATGAGCACAGGGTGGGCAGGCTTTGCAACCGTTTTGTATAACGCTCGATACTGATTCTACATTTATTATAGATATTTACACCCCCGACTGCATCATAAGTAGTGAATATTTACTAGGTGACCAATAACTAGATGTTGATGCAGAAAACGCGACATGTGTAAAGTCACAGCTGCTTTCAAATTCGTTCTGTGAAAAGCACCAGCACATGTTTGGGATACGTGCAAAACTTGCGTGCACAATATGTCAGCAAGACTTTCTAAGAGTAATCTTGAAGCACCAACTGACAATGGCCCGCTTAACAAGCTTGGAATGTTAGCTTGCAGTATGAGGATGTGTACAGTCCATGTTTTCTTGTCGTACACTCGAATTTAAACTTTATACAAAACATCATGATGACAGCAACACTCACCAGGCTTGTCCAAATAACTGCTATTGCAATAAAAAACGCACGAAACAGCACAGAGGGGCATTAATCTAAGGCTTCCTTGAAACATTCAATTGTGTTGTCGGCAGAAATGCATGCACTTCATGAATTGGCGCTCACCAGCCGTAAAGAACAGCTCTTTTTACTGAATTCATTGAAGCTTTATTCGAGTTCAACACTACTTCTATGAGCGGTGAGCTGACGTCAACGATCCACAACAGGACGACCTTTATTCAATTCAGTATATTACTAGAGTGCAACCGTCCGCAGCGCTGTTGGCTTGTCATTTTTTCACCGTTGTGACACGCCTCAAAGTATTTTTCGATTGTGGCGCCATAGAGGCGCTACAGAGAGTAATAGCATTGTAAAAAATGTAAAAAGGTCTGATGGGTGATGTAAGCAACACAGATCCGGATGTTCGTCCAAGAAGTGCACAGCGAGCAGCCACACTTTTTCCCACCCTCAATTAAATTCATGATGTCGCTGCAGTCTCTGTTGACAACACACTCATCAGTGCAGACCAGGTACCTGTATTTTGTGTAGAAAAACACTCCGGTCCTCACATTTTTTTTATTTAGCAGCTTCGGCGGGAACACGTCAGGTAGATGCAGATATTCACTTGCGGCCGTCTTTGCGGAGACCATTGGAACCGAAGACGTACCTCTGTGTCGCATTAAGATAACCTGAAAGAAAATACGCAAATAATGACACTATAGACACCCACACCCACTCAGCCATTAGCCGCCACCAATAAGCTGTATAATAAAGGCAAGTTGGTGCACTGTAAAACTACTGCTACATTCAGCCTACCGAACAAACAGTTCAATTCATCTTCTCCTTCATTCATTATTTACAGCATCAAAACATCTTTTACCTTAAGGACTGTTCACAGTTTCAAAGAATGCTAATACCCCTGAGCAGCACCTCTATTGCCGAGCAATAATTGCCTTCGTGCATGAATTTCCTTTCTCTAACCTCGTTCTGACCAAAGAATCAAAACTTGTATTATTGCGATAGAATAGAAGCCGTGGCGCATCATTCTTGCCGTAGCGTGAGGGTGTGCACGAAATCTATATCAATACCATCACCCCTCTCTTCGTATTGTCGCGGGTTATAAATGACAGGGGGTTTATTTAAAAACACGGACAGTGAGACTTGTAGAGACGCTCTCAGAGAAGGCCGCTAAGATTGTCGTCTTCTTCACTCTACTGCGCTGCGCCTCTCGAGCAAATCCGCGTTCTTCGTTGTCGTCGCTATTTCGCCGCTAAATGCAGCTATGCACGCGGCATTACTCTCCAGCCAGAGAGAGCGTCGTCCCGACGCTCAACCGGTTAGAGATGCGGCCATCGAGTGTTTACATCACTGAGAGTGGTAAAGTTTCATGCGGACCACGTGCACTGTCTCAGGCAGATGCTGGCGACGTTTTGAACAGGAGGAGGCGTCGGGCACGACTTCGTACGTCACGTCGCTAAGACGACGCAGAACCTTGCAGGGTCCGAAGTATCGGCGTAGAAGTTTCTCTGAGAGGCCTCGTCGTCGTACAGGAAACCAAACCCAGACTCTATCTCTTCGTTGATAAATGACGAATCGATGGCGAAGGTTGTACCGTTGGGCGTCAAAATGCTGCTGGTTCATTATTCTGACGCGGGCAAGCTGCCTTGCTTCTTCGGCGCGCTCAGTGAAGTCTGCGGCGTCTGTCTCTGAATCATTGCAATCGTAAGGCAGCATGGCGTCAAGCATTGTCGTAACTTCTCTGCCATGAATTAGTGCGAACGGCGTCATTTTTGTTGCTTCCTGGCGCGCCGTATTATACGCGAATGAGATGTACGGCAATATTCGGTCCCAATTCTTGTGTTCTACGTCCAGGTACATGCAAAGCATGTCAGCGATTGTCTTGTTAAGTCTTTCTGTAAGCCCATTAGTTTGTGGGTGGTAAGCTGTCGTCTTCCTATGCGCTGTGCCACTGAGCGTAAGCACAGTGCGCAAAAGCTCGGCTGTAAACGCGGTACCTTTGTCTGTTATGACGACAGCTGGAGCACCATGTCTCAGAACAATGTTCTCAATGAAGAACTGGGCCGCTTCAGCTGCAGTGCCACTCGCGATTGCCTTGGTCTCCGCGTATCGGGTGAGGTAGTCCGTCGCCACTATAACCCATTTGTTGCCGCTGTCCGATGTTGGGAACGGGCCCAGCAGATCCATTCCGATTTGAGAAAACGGGGTTTCTGGCACGGGCACAGGATGTAATAGCCCGGCCGGTTTGACAGGTGGTACCTTGCGCCACTGACAGTCAATGCATGTTCGGACGTAATGTTTAACCTCTGCTGCGATTCTTGGCCAGTAATATTTTTCTTTGATGCGTGTCAGTGTTCTTGTGAAACCGAGGTGGCCCGCAGTGGCTTCGTCATGGCAGGCTTGTAAAATTTCGCTGCGGAGAGCTCCAGGAACTACCAGCAGATAGCTTCTACCTGTTGATGAAAAGTTCTTTTTGTACAGAATTCCGTCCCGTAAACAGAATGACGATAAGTTCTTTGAAAACACTCTTGGTGCATTGGCGGCTCGTCCGTTCAAGAATTCTATAAGCGAGTTGAGCTCCCGATCATCTTGTTGTTGCCGAGAAATGATAGCTGCATCAACAACTCCTAAAAAACCTGGGAAATCATCATCCTCTATAGCCGGTGATTCAATCAGTCGGCGTCTAAGTGTTGCCTTCCGGACTTGTACACTACGGCCATGTCGTACTCTTGGAGCCGTAAGCTCCACCGTGCTAAACGTCCAGATGGGTCTTTCATGTTGGTCAACCAACAAAGAGAGTGATGGTCGCTTACGACTTGGAAAGCGCGGCCATATAAGTACGGGCGGAACTTCGCAACTGCCCAAACGACGGCCAGACACTCCTTCTCCGTTGTTGAGTAGTTGGACTCGGCACGTGTCAACGTTCTGCTAGCGTAGGCAGCCACTCTCTCCACACCATCTCGGCATTGGACAAGAACAGCACCTAGGCCCACATTGCTGGCGTCTGTATGGATGGCTGTTGGTGCATTCTCGTCGAAGTGAGCGAGGACAGGTGGAGTTTGTAGACGCTGTCACAGCTCGTTGAATGAAGCTTCTTGCTCTTCACCCCATACAAATGCGATGTCTTCCCTTGTAAGGCGGGTGAGCGGAGAGGCGATGTGTGCAAAGCCTGCTATAAATCGCCGGTAGTAGGCGCAGAGACCCAGAAAACGCCTGACCGCTTTCTTATCAACAGGCCTTGCGAACTTTGCGACGGCTGCTGTTTTATCTGGGTCAGGCTTCACACCTTCGCGACTAATCACGTGTCCCAGGAACTGGAGTTCTTCGAAGCCGAAGTGGCATTTTTCCGGTTTGAGTGTGAGTCCAGCGGATCATATGGCTTGAAGGACTGACAGTAGCCGCTTTAGATGCTCTTCAAACGTGGCCAAAAAAACGATCACGTCGTCGAGGTACACAAGGCATGCTTTCCATTTTAGGCCGGACAGAATGGTATCCATTAGTCTCTGAAACGTGGATTGGGCTAAGCATAGACCGAAAGGGAGGACTTTGAATTATAAAGCTCGTCTGGCGTCACGAAGGTGGTCTTTTCTCGGTCTCGCTCATCTACTTCTATTTGCCAGTATCCACTTTTAAGGTACATTGACGAGAAGTAGCGCGCATGCCGTAGCCTGTCCAAAGAGTCATCGATCCGTGGTAATGGATAAACGTCTTTTTTTGTAACATGGTTAAGCTTACGATAATCGATGCAGAAACGCAAGCTGCCGTCTTTCTTTTTCACAAGTACCACTGGCGATGCCCAAGGACTTTTTGATGGTTGGATAATGTCATCCTCTAGCATCTTCTTGACTTGCTGCTGGATTACCTCACGTTCTTTCTGAGCGACGCGATATGGGTTCTGTCGGATCGGTCTTGCTGTGTCTTCCGTAATTATACGATGCTTAGTCAGAGGCGTTCGACCCACTCGTGATGTCGATGAGAAGCAGTCCTTGAACTGGTCGAGCAGCTCCATAAGACGGCATCTTTCAGTCGGTGTTAGACTTGGACCGATATCAACTGGTGGTGTTTGTGGAGGTGATTGAGCTGTGGCTTCCCCTTGCATTAGAAGACAGTCGTGAGAGTAGTCGAGCTCTTCGAGGTACGCCACAGCCGTGCCTTTACCGATGTGCCGGCGCTCATTCGTGAAGTTGGTCAGAAGCACGTCTGTGCGCCCATCCACTAAGCTGACGATACCGCGAGCGATGGCGATGCCTTGGTGAAAAAGAAGGTCAGTGATGCGTTCGACTATGGCGTTTTCATTACAGTGCACGGCGCAACACACGGAAACAAGACTACATGACAGTGGTGGCACGCAGACGTCGTCGTCGACCACACGTCGACCCTGGGTTCTTGGTCTGGATCAGTGGTCACAGACTTGTCAGCGGCGAATGTTATCACACCGTCGCGTATGTTGACCACAGCACCGTACTCTCTTAAGAAATCCATTCCCAGAATCATAGGTTTGCAGCACTCCGGTAGGATCAGAAATGTGGCTACAAAAGCCACATTCTCAATAGTGAGTCTTGCTGTACATTTTCACGTGGGAGTCATTATATGGCCTCCAGCACTTCGGATATAAGGGCCCGTCCATTCCATCCTGACTTTCTTGAGTTCGTCTGCCAATCGTTCACTCATTATGGAGAAGTCTGCACCCGTATCGACTAAGGCCGTCACTTCAACGCCGTCAATCGTCACAGCGAGGTCGGCAGTCACAGTTTTTTCGGCGAAATCATCATCGTCGTCTCTCACGTGTTTCGGCAGCAGTGGGGGTTTTTGGGCAATTCGACGGCTTGCAACCTTCCCCCAAGAGGTCGCTGTTTCAGTTTCCCCGCCGTGGGCTGGGAGAACGACCTCTGACGGCGTCAGCAAAACTATGGCGGCTTGGTAAACCAAAGCGAGCCGGTGATGGTGACCGCGTCCGGAAGGTAGAAGAGCCTTCCCGCCTGCCAGCCTGGTCGTCGTCGATGGGGGCACGGCTTTCGTCGAACTGTCGGCGTGTAGCTGTAGATGCACTACCGCGGTATTCAGCTCGGCGATGTGGGCAAAAACGGCAAATGTGCCCTGGCTCTCCACAGTTGTAGCAGAGTGGTCGACGATCCGCAGTGCGCCATATGTCGGTCTTCCGCATATAGGGTCGCCTGACAGAATCCTGCTGAGCCCAGGCTGCCACAGGATACGGTTCGAGGTACTGCGGCGCTGGCATGGGCGTGGGTCGACGAACAGCGTCTGCATAGCTGTATCCGTTCGGCTGGTACGACACTTCTGGAGCCAATGGACGACGCACAGCGTCTGCATAGGTACACGAGTTTGGACGGTGCGGTGGAGCGGAATATTGCTGAGGAGAGGCAAACGCTTGTCGAAGTTCATGGCGAACGACTTCAGCGATGGAGGCTACCGTGGACTCCTGCTGCGGGGGCGCCTGTGACGGCAATGTGTATTTTGCGTTCTCCTTCGCGATCTCCTCACGCACGATCTGTCTAATCAGGTGGCGTAGAGCAAACTCGTCGTTTGCGGTAAGTGCGGCGGCGCCTGCAGCTGCGCCGGTGGCCGGGCGATCAGACTGTCGGTACCGTTGCTGTAGCGCACGCTCTATTGCGGTGGCCTCCCTGGTGAACTCGTCCACTGTTGTCGGCGG